CCACACTGGCTTGTTTCAGCTTCTAATCATGTGGTAGGTTGACGTCCATCTTTTGATTCTCAGTCTATGAGTATCTTTAGTCCTAATGTTTATCTTAGAGACAAGAGCTGGTTCCATCTAGTTTTGTTTGGTTTTTGTTTTTAAGTCCAGTGAGCCTGTCTGTGTCTCCTTGTTGGTGAGTGAAGACCATTCATAGTTAAGGCTATTACTGAGAGATGTTTACTAGTTCCTATTATTTTGATGATTACATTTCTGGTTGCCTGAATTATTGTTTTTGTTTTTGTTTTTGCTTTCTCATGCATTAGTGTTAGGGGTTTGCTGATTTACTGTGTTGGATGGGATGGATTCTTGCCTAGCTCTCTTTTTTTTGTTTATCCTTCTCATGAAACTAATTCTTTCCCCATGTTTAGCATTTCTTTTGGTATCTTTTGCAGTACTAGTTTGATTGTCATGAACAGCCTTGGCTTGTGATTGTCTTGAAGTGTCCTTATTTTTCCATCAATTGTGAATGATAAATTTGCTGGATATAGCAATCTTAGCTGTTAGTTGCTTTCTGTACTTGGAATATGTCATTTCATGCTTTTCTGGCTTCAAGCATCACTGACAAGTGATCTGGTGTTACTCTGTCATTTCTGTTTTTGTTGGAGAGTTATTCTTTCCCTTCATATAGCATTTAGTATTGTTTATTTGATATCTAATTTTTAGATTTTATTTTTAATTTAAATTTTTATTTAATTTTGAGAATTTCAAACATGAGTACTGTATTTACATCCTTTCCATCCCCCTCTTTCTTACTCCTCCCATGTTCCCCTTCTCCCTCTCTAATTATTGACATTTTCTTTAATTATTATTGTTTTATATATATATATATATATATATGTAACCTATATCCATCCTCTATATCTATCCTATCCTATTTATCATCTGTCTATATCTATCTATGGAATTGTCTAACAATCAATCATCAGGTAACTACTGAGTCTATTTAGTCCTACTGATATATATATGTGTGTGTTTCTGGTTGTCTACTAAGGATAACCTATCAGGAAGCTCATCCGTGGAGAACACTGATTCTCCCTTTTTCAGGCATTTTCTACAGCTCTTCATCTAGGGGTGAGTGCTTGCAAGCTTTCACCCATCTGAGTTGGCATGTTCACTGGTGTTGTCATAATGCAAGTCTTGTGTAATGTGACTTTATTGATGAGATTTCATGGGTGCAGCTTCCCTGTCCTGTGTAGAAGACACTATCTCATCCCCTGGCTCTTACAATCTTTCCTTCATCTGTGATGTTCTCTGAGCCTTAGATATAGGGGTTGTGTGTTTTAGATTTATCAATTGGGGATGGGCACTACACACTCAGTTATTCTCTAAATTTTGACCAATTGTGAGTTTCTGTAGTAGTCTCCATCTGCTGCAAAAAGAAAAGCTTCATTAACATTGGATGAGAGCTACACACACACACACACACACACACACTCACTCACTCACTCACTCACTCACTCACTCACTCACTCACGGATAAGTGTTTAGAATATAGTTAGAAGTTATACTGGTTTAAGAAATTTGCAGTAGTAAGTTCTTCTCTATGGTCCATAACCTCACCAGCAACTGGTAGTTAGAAATTGACAATGCCAGGCATGAATTCTCTCCTGTGGATCAGACCATAAGTCCAATTAAATAGTTGTTGATTATCCCCAAATATAAATGCTACTACTGTACCACTGGAGACATCTTTCCATGTTGGTCATCGTTGTGGTTCATGGGCTTTACAGCTGGGTAGGAATACTGGCTGGTTTTCTACCTTGGTAGCTTGCATAGCATCTTTGGACAAATTGAGAGGTAGTCTTCAGGAAGAGGCCTCCAGGTTAGTTCCAGATCGATTCCATGGATTCATAGCTTTGGTATTTTGATCATGTCCTGGAGTTCTTGATTATTGTGATCATTTTTATCTGGTTTTGTCCTCATTGGTACTTGAGTGTAGTATTTCTTTGACCTTGTACTTTATCCCTGATAGTCTTTCTTCTGCTTGGTTGAGTCTATCAATGCTGCTTTCTACTGTGTCTTTTATTTGGTTGCTTGAGCTTTTCATTTTTAACGTTTCTAATTTCTTCCATCTAAAATATCAATTTCCTTGCTGACTCTTTCAAATATGTTGCTGATTTTCTCATCCACTTTGAATTTTTCCTCTATGTTGCTGACTTTCCTCTCTAGTCTTCCTCCTCTGTATTCTTACTTTTTCCTTACTAAGAACATTAGCAAGTGTTTTTTATAAACAAATGTGCATTTTAGCTGCTGACCTGGAAGTTTAGCTGTCAAAAGGCCAAATAATCAATAGAAGAATCGGAAATGGAGCTGGGAGGAGATAGAGTAGAGGGGAGAAACATTAATGCAAAACAACCCCAAAAGTCCTGATGGGTAAAGAGTTAGTTATACAGCCTAATAAATAACCTGCCTCTAGAGAGTGACGAGGTTGAGGTTTTACTTCAATCAAATGGAACCTTATTTCCTTATCTGGATACATTTGGGATCTGGGATTGTGCTAGGTAACAAAAATTCACTTGTTTCTCATCTGAACATCTTCATACTTGTACTAAAGTGGCCTTACTACACTCAATACATCTTTTCTGAGGAATACTATGCTGGTGACTGAAAAGAGATTTGGAATACAGAAAGGGCAAGCAGTTGACCTACAACTCTAGTTAAAAAACAAATAGTCCCTACCTAAATGCAGAAAATGGCAGCCAAAATAGCAATGTGAAAGCTTTGATTGCAGCATTAATTAAGCATTTTAGTTTAAAAGGTTTTTTTTCCTGCTTGTGGCCTGGAATGAGCAAGTATCTTTTAGATATAACTGAATATTTAACCAGAGGATCTACTTGCCATCAATATATATGGAAGAGACAGCTTTCTATGGGTAGCAATAATATGGATAATTGAACTGTATGAATACAAAATATGTAGAGTTAATTAAGACTAATGTGCATCAGTGGAGAAAACCCTATTAGCATTCATTAGTTAGTCCTGTTTATGATTATTTCTTAACTGTCAGAAAGCTAAAGGCCTCATGCAAGCCAGAAGAATGAGTCATTCAGACTGTTTTTCTGAAACTCAACTATAGTACTTTACTTCAAATTTCCCCTTAATGTTGTTGTTGTTGGTGTAGTTTTTGAAACAGGGTCTCACATAGCTCAGACTGACCTTGAACTCCTGATTCTTCTGCCTTCCCTTCACATGGCTGAGTAGGTAATTTTTTAAGGCAGGCAGCAGTGTCTGTGAAGCAGTAATGCTAATGACAATGGAAACAAGAGTATAATCCTAATTAATTTCTTGAGAGTTAGTCCCTATTTGCCATTATTAGGTTGTTTTATAGTGAATGGTTGCCAGGTACTGGAAAAAGTGTGTGTGTGTGTGTGTGTGTGTGTGTGTGTATGTGTGTATGTGTGTGTCAGTTGGCTAGCCTGTGATTTTCAGAGGTTATTTTTTTAATGTTGAGTTAGCAACAATATATTTGATAAATCTGTAATTTAATCAGAATTTCAATTTATTTAATGGGGTTTAAAAATCCTGAATTAGTATTTTTTTTTCTTTGAACTCAAAAGATTCTACCTGACAGTTCACAAAGCAATATTCTGACTTTCGTGATGTGGGCAGGGATTCAGGGAGGGGGTGTGATAAAACACTGAGAGAAAGATTCGAATGAAAAAAGTATAAATATAGCCTTGGTAAGAGTCAGCCCCCAGTGATAACTTGCTCAGAATCTTCCTTCCCCTGAGAATTATATGATTTGATCATTCTTACTTACCATATTACCCAAAACACTTAATGTGGGTGGGCTGGATTTTTATTTAATATGATCATGTTAGTGGGCATTTAAACTTTAGACAAGATTTCCCATCTGGGGTTAGGAGCTAAGAGCTTTGTTTATTTGTGTATCTCTACCACTCAGTGGGTTTGTTGTTTTGTACATACGAAAATACATTAAGTACTTGGGGAATAGGTTAATGATGGATGAGATGACCCCATTACTGTAGATAGAATTAATACTCTAACAGGGGGAAATCACATTTGTGGTAAGTGGGATATTATGTATAAAATTTGCTATAAACTTGGGTCTTTGGTGCCATTCTGCTTGGCTTTTGCCTATCCAAGTGGCTATTGCTTCTACTTTTGTTTGCAGAGTCCCGCAGCCTGAAAGCATCTTTGCCGAGATTACCCTGGTGATTCAGAATGCCTAAATTGTGGTGGATTAATAACACATTCCCAGTTTTTACTGACTGTCCATAGGCGAGTACTATGCTAGGAATATGTTGAAGAGACAATGACTTTGTACTTACTTCATATGTTTAGAGTTGGGCATTCTGACCACTGAATATTGAGCTAGAGGTCGCCATCAAGGTTTTCAGCATCAACCCTCTTGTTATAATAATCAGCTAAGAACTCAGAGCTCCCAAACAAATGACATAAGCATCCTGTGAGGTGAGTGCGTTTGCTAGGCACAGTTTGCATATGAGGCAATTTGATTCTAAAGTGTTAGGTAACCATCTCAGAATCTCACAGCTAGAAAGTAGTAGAGCCCCAATCCAAACCCAACTTTGTCAGACTGCAAAGCTGCCTGAAAAGGATTTCCCAGCTTTTGATGGCACTCTGCTGGCTCTAATTTGTGTGCACAGTTTTCAGTGTCATGGGCTACTTCAGCTACACGATGGACTTCCTTCTAAGCATCACTTTCTTTTTTAGAAGTGCTATCATCCCAGATGAACTGTTCCTTCTTTCAGGGATGAATTGCCTTATTGCTGTGTTGCCTCTTTTCTCAAGAGCTTGTTCAAGTTCTGCCTTCAGTAACCAATGGCCTATGATCAACTCCTCAGGTCCTCTTGAAGCTGAATGGAAGAATTTGCCAATCCTACTTGTGGCTACAAGGTTGGGAGAAGTCAGGAAATAAAATTCTGGGGCAAAAGTCCCCTCATGACTTGCTTTCTGTTTTGTTCTATGCAACACAGATTGAAGATGGAGGCAAGGCAGCCTTGTCCCAGAAGATGAGAACTGGCGATGAGCTGGTGAATATCAATGGCACTCCGTTGTATGGCTCCCGCCAAGAAGCCCTCATCCTTATCAAAGGCTCCTTCAGGATCCTCAAGCTGATTGTCAGGAGGTAAGGCACAGGTGCAGAGGCCATTGAAAAGTACTTGATTGATAATCTAGCCTCAATAAAGTGGCATCTCTAGCATTATCATCAAGAAGAGAGGTATTTTCTGTGAACAGAATTGTGCAGACAACTAAAGCAGAATGGACAAAGGGCTGTTGGTTCATATTTTGACACTGTCATATACTCAGTATACCCCTTCAGATAAATGCTTCTTCTGGACTCAACTTATTCACTCTTCTGAGGACCCAGTGACTCAAAACAAGCAAAGCTTTATATAACCCAGGGGTTTTTCCTCTCTCCCCTGTCATTGTTTAACCGTCACATATCTACAGAGATTTAAAAGAACTCTGCTGCCAGCCATGGTAAGCTCTCTGGATGCTATGGCGAATGCCAAGACAGAAATGTTACCTTATATAGTCTCACAGGTGAAAAAAGCATGTATGTTTCAATAAAAATTAATAATATAAAGAAGCAATAAAATGCTTCACAGAATCTTTTGTACTTGTTAAATAGGTTGTTGAAACAGAAATTGTTAATTAAAGAGAAAAGAGGTCATGTCAGAATTCAGTAGGGGTACATTCAAAAGAGGAGGTAAAATTTGAGCTAAAGGGTAGGTGGGATTAGGGAAATAAACCATCAGAAATAGACAGATTTTGGCTCCCTAGCGTTACACGGGCAGAGGAAGGGCAGGGACACCATTGGGTGTGGTCACTCCAGGCTGCTGCCAAAGCATCTGCCTGCTCATGTGCCCTTTGAAAAACGTTTTCGTTGTTTTTTGAGATTATGACATAATTACATCACTTCAGTCTTCTTTTTTCTCCCTCTAAACCCTCTCCCCTTGTTCTCTTTCCAAATCATGGCCTCTTTTTCTGTGAATATTGTTACTGAGACCAGGAGAAACTGTCTTCCCTAGGGAAGAGCACACTAATCGGTTATCTAATACCAAATGGTCAGTTCTGAAAAGATAGACCTACAAACAACATTATATGGAGTTAGCAGGTTGTGTTTATGTATTTATGAACACACACACACACACACACACACACACACACACACACACACACACACACACACCTTTTTATTGTGGTGCTGGGGATGGATATAAGGGCCTCCTGATGCTAGGCAATTGCTCTCACATTTGAGCTCCACCCCCAGATCATTTCTTTCATTTTTCTGCAGTATCTCTACTTTGGGCTGCTAGAGCTCAGGTTTTTCCTTTTCGTTGGTCGGTTTCCTTTATCTTATACACATGCCTAAGTTTCTGCATCATTGTTATTATTAAAGAAATATTATCATAGTACATCATATCATATGGTTTAAATTATTTATAATATATTATTATTACAGGAAAAACGTGAATTACATTCCATGATATTTCTCCCTCTGGCTACTGCCGTTTTCCTCCTTTTGTTTCCATTTCATCTCAAAAGCAGAGTCTATCCTTAGTGCATGCACTTTTCTACCTTCTATTTAGCTTTTGAATACCTGCGGTCTGAACTTGGTCTCTATAATTCAAATCGACAAAATGTTGCCTTATTCTTAAAACCAGTAGATTATTTTCAGTCTTCGTCATATATGATTTAAAGAAGACATTTGATACAGTCAGTCTAAATGACAAAACTCCTATGTGAAACTCTGACTTTCAACATACTGTTTACTTCTTTGTGTCCTACCTTTTTGTCCATGTTGTAACCAATTTTGTTTATGACTTGACCATCACTTTGACTGTGCCTTAAGCATTTTGTTTTCAGTATTTCTACCTTTTCTAACTTCATAATATGGAAATTATACTATGGAAAATATCACTGGTTCCTCCTGTTTCAATTTATATCTATATGTGGATGATTCTATCTCTTCTGTCCCAGACCATATAACCAATTTCCTCTTGGACATTTATATTTATTTAGATGTACCTATAGCATTTTAAGTATAGTATGCTGTTCCAAGCCTAATACCTTATTTTCCACCAAAGCTCCCTATCTTGGTGACACTCTAGCAACCAAGCCAGAAGGAGAGCTATCATAAATTCTTCTATTGATCACGCGTAACACTCAGACAATTTATCCAAACAATCTTTCCCTGAAAGAGAAATGATAATAGTTCAGGGTTACATGGGGCATATTATATAGAATTCCATTGGTGTATTGCATGATCTTCTAGTACCTAATATTAGCCATGCCTTTCCAAATATAGGCATCATGGTAAGTAATGCCTTGCACCATATAATAGCTATGTTATCACTGATTCCATCTTACATGAATGGAATCCAAGGCCTTGAATATGCTAGCCAAGTGCTCTCTGCTATTGATATATATCTTCACCAGTTTGTATCAGTTATGATATATGTTTTAAGTAAGATTTCATGGGGGGGGTCACTTGATAAGAGTTCTTGTTTAGTATCTGATAGGTTCCTGAATGTTACTCCTTTGTTCTATTACATGGAAATTGTAATTCCTTGAATAGTGTTATTATTGTGAAGATTAAATAATACAACTTATATAAAATTCTTCTTACATAATGGTTTTTCACTTCCAAGTACTAGCCAGACTTGATCGTGCTTAGCTTCCAAGATCAAGGTGGTTTGGCCATAGATGCATAATGCTGTATCAGGGAATCTCATTCCATTCCCTTCTCTGAGGTATAAAAAAAGCATAATTGGAGTAGCCAAACACTGTTAGATGGGAAGTGCATTAGAGCTGTAACGTACATTGTACCCTAGTCTACAGAGTATGATTTGCTGGGCAACCAATTGGGTACGGCAAATATCTGAACAGAGAACATGGCTCTTGGTGAGATGCTGGTTGTAGAAAGACAGAAGCACTTTTACAATGTGAATATTATCAGAGAAGTTTCAAGGGATACGAGGATTTTGGGTTTTAACCACTCACCCTCTCTTCTTTACTCCAGCGACACTGCCACTACAGAGCGTCACTTAGGAGTGGCTGTAGTTACAGCCTTGGAGATAGCTGGGACCTTTGGTTTGCATGGGCTGAAAGGTTCTGTGGCTCCCAGTACCTACATTTTCTACCCTTTTCAGCACCCCCACTTCAGCCCTTATTACTTGAGGCGTCCCATGCATAATTTATGAGATGCTGCTGCCCTCTTGTGGAAAACTTCACGTTCCCTTATGGACTGCTGTGGACATGATATAGGAAGTTAGTTCCTTCTTGTTTAGTCCCAATTTCCCCTTCAGTTTATGAAAAAGGTCCGCAGCCCTACATTGCCCTTTAATGATAGTTAACTAAGTCAGAAATCAAGGTATCATTGTCAGATCTCCTCTTGCCTCACTCCCAAGGCCAAGTAAATTCAAGCCTTGACATGTCTAACCTGCTCTAAACCTCTGTTGTTTTGTCTTAATTCAATCACTTGTGTTTTCTCACCTGGACTATTTTGAGAGCCTTCCCACTGGCTTCTCAGCATTCAGTTTTATCTCGTTCCAATCAATCCATGCTCAAAAAAAGGCATCTGAGCAGGTCCATTTTCTACTTGAACAAAAATTAAAAATAAGAACCATAGAGCTGTGCTATTCTCAAAAGGTTTATTTTATATGGATAGAATATTTAACCACATTAATGACATGATATTCAGGAGCAATTTTTAATAGTTTGTTAATTATTTAAGAATTTCATGAATTGTATTTTGATCATATTCATCCTCCTCCCCATCCATTCCCAGATCCAGACCCCAATTCCATATCCACCCAACTTTGTACCTTCATGGATTTCTTTTTGAAAAAAACATTGCTCCAAGTAGTCCTGCCTGTATACCCCTGAGTCTGAACCATTTTTGATCTATCAGGGGACATATCCTTAAAGAAAACTAACTTTCCCTTTCCAGGTAGCTATTGATTACCACTAGCTCCTCAGCTATGACTAGGACTTTGTGACTAAGTACTATTTTTAACTAAAAATCATGATATCTAAATATATAAAGAAAAACCTGTTAGCAGTAGAAAAGAAAATTTATGAAAATGTCTGTATTGAAGACTTTGACATAACTTAGGCATGAAAACAAAGAACACCAAAATGCAAATACTTGGAAGAGTTGAAAGCATAAGTCATTCATTCTAATTAATACAATTTTAAAATGTTTCATTACTTTCAAATATTCATGTAACATCTAAAAATGATTGCATGTTATGCTGCAGAGAAAACATATGCAAATTCTTAGCAGCAGAAGTGACATTGGCTTTTGTTTCTGATGAGAATGTACAAATTTCCCAAATTTAAAAAAAAATCTTTTGCAACTTTAATATAGCAGAACACATTTATATGTAAATATCAGATCAAAGAAAAAATAGCAAACTAATAAAAATAATAAAGATGAGAGCATGACTTGTCAGAACTTTGAGATTAGTATTCAGAAGTAAATTTATAACATTTGATATTTTATTAAAAATGAAGAATACAATTACATATCTACAAATCCAATATAATACTGATGCCAAGGGCTTGATTTGGGGGACTGGGAAGATGGATTAAATAGATAAGCCTCTAGCAAATTTAATCAAGTAAACAAAGATGAATTATAAATAAAATTTAAATGATAAGTGACAAATAACATCATAGAAATAGTTTCTGGAATTAACTACAGATTATTATAATTATACTTTAGGAAATCTTGAAATCACAGAGAAATTTAACATATTTACTTCAGTTTTAAATGCCAAAATCATTGAGAAGCTGTATAATGAAAGGACCTGAAACAGCAGAAACACTGAAAACAACAATAATAATTAAACGAAAATTTCCAGAAATACTTTAAGTTCACATACTTTCAATCAGCGAATGCCTTCAAAGTTTTTGAAATAACCTAGACTCCATGACAATGTGATAGATCTGAAAATGTTGCAGATTTATTCCAGTTGTTTTTGAAGGCAGCGTCAGTTTGATACTACAACCCAACACCCTGCTCCCACACAGGATACTCTAATTATTGAATTAGATGCAAAGTCCATAAATGTAGTTTTGAATTATAGGATAACAGCTCATTTTAAAAGCTAAAAT